TGTTTCAAGCCAATCATTTGCTGCTATGATCCAATATCTTAATATTAGCATAGACGTACCTTCACCAACCGATTGACCGAGCTCTTTAAAATCCTGAATTATAGATAATGATGATGAGATAACATTAACAAAATTACGCACTTTTTCAATTGATTGTTTAATAGGCGATAAACCCATTGTAACGATAAGATTCAAGACATGCGCCAAGCAGCGATGAGATTAAAAGTGAAAATTATAATTATTTAAAATCAAATTATCCTTCAACAATTGCATTGCCAAAATTATATTAGAACCTCTATTGGTAGTAGCACAAAGAAGCTTGTTAGTAATATTAAAAGCTGCAAGAACAGAGCGCAATTTAGTATTAATTTCGTCACCTATATGTGGATGAGAGAGCATACAAATATCGAGTAAGATTTTCTTAAGATTCCAGTCACTATCTATCCAATGTGCTGTAATACAAATAAAAGGCACATTAGCATGAGAGGTCCAAATATCTAATGTGATAGAAATTTTACCAGAAATTTGTTCAAGAAGAGACTGAATATCTTTTTTCATTATGGCGAAGGATTTTTAAATGATAGACTTAATAACATCATGTGAAGGCACGTCTATGCTAATATTAAGATATTGGATCATAGCAGCAAATGATTGGCTTGAAACAATAGAAAAAGGTAAAGTATCTGATATAATCCATTCAGCTACTAATATATTAAATTTAGTTTTTTGAGCCATTGTGAGAGTTTGTTTTGAAATTATAGCTTCAGGAGAAAATGTAAGAATTTGTTGAGTTGGCATTGGTTTGTTCGTTTCTCAGCCCAGATGTCAAGAGTCAAGATGTTTACGTAAGTTACCAGTAGCTGTAGTTATACTGAATTCACTTTTGCAGATACTGCAAATTACTGACTTATTATCAATAGTTTTTTGTGAAAAATAGGGTTTAACAGGAGAGAGAAGCCTAGCATTAGATTTTTTTAAAACAACAGGAATGTCAGATATGACATTCGCACTATTGCTTGTAGTAGCAACACATTCAGCTGTACTATCATCAATATTTTCAATAAAGTCATTAGTATCCATCGCAGTATATACAGTATTTGTAGAGGAGTTAGGGTTAATTTTTAAATCGAATATAAATTGGACAGGTATGTTTCGAGTTTTTTTATATTTGAGCAGTGGTCTAGAAAATATCAGCTAAGAATTTGAGAATTCTCTGATTAATCATCAAAATAATTATTATCAGTCAAGAATTCTCAAATTCCCAGACTGATTTTTTCTAAACCGTTGCTCATTTACTAACAATGGCTATACAAAATCTTTATTAAGAAATTATTCACACTCTGAATTAGATTTTTTAAGGCTATGACTATAAGGTTTTTTATTTTTTATTTATTTTTTTAAATTTTGTTTCTCTTGTTTGTGTAAATTTTATAATTAACCTACTATCAAGCTATATGAAGATGGATTGGCTAACAATCAAGCCAGATTAACGTGATTTTCTCAAGCTAGTAATCCAGTTTGAAGTGGCTTTGCTCTAAAACCATGGCTAAAGTTCCAAAGCCATGGCTGGCTTGATTGTCAGCTTATCTTATTCCTACTACCAAGTCAAGTTTATGATTCAAATTGCTGATAAATTTTCAGCAAACTGGTTGATAGTATGCAAATAACTTAAAAATCAATAGAGGATTTTCAGCGAATTGGTTGATGGTATGCAAATGATGTAAGAACTTATTATTTAACGAAGTTTAAAAATGTTGATAGATTTTTAGCAAAATGGCTAGATACGATAGTTTGTAAATGATTACTAAAATTAAATCAAATGAGACGTCATTACTTAAATTGATTTATTCAATACATTTTAATTTATTTAAGATTTGCTATGTATTATAATTATATATAAATAAAAAAATAAAAAAAAGTAAACCAAAAATAAAGTAAAAAAATGAATACATAAATGATAAAAAGTTTTTAATTTATAATGTTCTGAATTAAAATAATAATTAAGGGTTATCATTATTGAAATAGTTTTTTTTTAAAAAAGTATAAGTCACGATACTAAATTATCTACTATTGGCTAATAGTACTTTATTAGACGTAGACTCATAGCCGAGCCGATGATCAGTTAAGGTTTTAGCCAAGCCATTTTTGGAGCTGATATCTTATTAGTAAACCTATAGCTGAGCCGATAATCAGCTCGGCTTAGCCGATCAGCTCGCGGCTCGGCTCTAGCTGTTCGCATCCACTATCTCTGGTACAAAAATTTAAACCAGTATAGATGTAGGATTTACTTCCATTATGGTAAAGAATTACTTCGAAGGTAAAGTAGCCCTAAGCCTGACTAAATTAAATTAAGTTTGGTATTACAGAAAAAATATTGAAAACAGAGACTTTAAATAGAGAACTTACAGCTGGATCCAGATATGGCAATTAGTAAATAATCTGTAGGCAGAGCCTTTAAATAGATAATGACTAAAGTTGTACATATAGCTAATTGTAGCCTCGTTGATATGCAACATGTAATATTCCTATGTAATAATAAGTCAGCACTTAATAAAATTACAAGACATAGAAGTCTCTCTTTAAACTGTAAAAAAAAAAAAACAAATTAAAATAATAAAAGTTTAATATAAAATCTGAGGTGCACAAAGTTTTATTCAGAAAATGTGTACTACTAATGCATTATAATGCTGGATAGAAATAGATTTTCTAAAGAATATAGAAATATTATAGCAAATTTATGAAAATAAAATATTTTAACTAATTATAAAATATATCCTTTACTGTTTATGTTTTAATATTTTTTATTATAATATTATATAGATAGTATCTAACTTAGAGTTTCTATCCATTATCTGTTTATCCATTTATCTATTGAATATTTAGATCTGAAGTTATTTGAATATCCGTTTTACTATTAATATCTGAATAATTATCCAAATATTTGTTAGATTATCTGGATATCAATAGTAAATAGATATCCAAATAAATTCAGATATGGATAAATGGATAACGGATTATCCAGATTGAAACTTTAATTCAACTCACTTTATATGAAAAGATAAATTAGACATTTTTTTTTATAATTCGGCAATCTTGTCACTTTTTATTTAAGATTAAACTAAATTAAGAAATTTATATTTCCTAATAGTAGCTATACTAATCCAACCAAAAAATAACTTACTCATGCTTTTGCCAGATATGACTTGCCTTAATAAACTTCAAGCCTCTCTGGGTTCTAACTTATTAAAGGTTATTCTTTGGTCATAGGCTGATGCTACACATCTTATCAAATTAACTTTTCTTTTTACAAAACGAAATACAAACACAAATGCAAAGAGCATAACAAAAAAAGAGGAAAAATATTATAATGTTAAGTTCTGGTCCACCTAAACTAATAAAACCAAATAAAACAAAATGAAAAAAAAAACAAAAGAAAAGAAAACAAAAATAGCACTATTAAACCTATGCTAAATTATAAAAATTATATAGTACTACAAATAAACTAAACTAAACTCTATACTAGTTATTTATGTCTATATCCAGGATATAAAAATAACAAAAACTATCTGGTCTTAAAGTAGAGCTCCAAGAGTTGAAATTTCTAGTTGCTACCTGGCCGGATTATAAAAACCAAAAAATTTTTTATATGGCCTTAATTATAAATCAAATAAAATGATTTACTATAATTTTATATATAAAACATGCAAATAAAATTATATATTTTTAATTTATTCAATTATAAAACATAGCAGACATGTTCTTTAAAATGTGTTACTTATAGGTCAAATGAGATGACTTACTATACAAATTATAGTAAGTCATCTTATTTGATCTATAAATAACATATTTTAAGAGGACATGTACTATTTCTAATAATAACAGGCAACAATAATTAATTTATTCGAAATTACGAATAAAATTAAACGTTAAGTAATTTATGAGTCAAAACACGTGTTTAAGTTACTAATACACTGCAAAGTACTACAACATTTCTTAGTTTACAATATTCAATAACTTCATTATTTTGCTTTTATTACAGACTAAGATTAGCAATCTCAACTTTAAATTCATTACAATCGGAATTAAAAACTTTAACATTAGGTTCAATACAAGGTATCGAAACATTACTATTATTGTTTTGTATTAATAAAGTACTATCAACATTATCATCAGAGTCATCAGAGTTATTAGTAATATTAACAGGTGGCAACCAATCCCAAGCAAACCAGAAAGTCACAATAGCATAAACACCACCTCCAACTAAATCAATCATATAATGATGTGTCAAATACATACAGGACCACCAAATCCAAAACACGTAAGTCAAACATAAAATACGAGATTTTGGTAAAGTGTAAGAAATAAAAAGAGTTTGGATAATTGCGCATGCAGAGTGTAAAGAAGGAAAAGCACCAAACACCATTGGAGAACCATTAAATGCAATTTCGTATGTATTAAATTTGAACAACTCATCAATACGAATCAACCCCCCGGCATGACCTGGCATTGAGTATGAAGCAGGTGTATTCATTCCATAAACGTATTCATACCCTATTAAAGATAATTGATTAATTTGATGATTGACTCAAACTGTAATATATTATTAAATACTTACAAGGTGGAGAACAAGGAAATGCTAATTGAGTCAATACACCAGCAAGGTTCATATAACCAAAAGCCCTTGCAAAAACCGCCAGGATCCCAGGAGGTCCAAACCACCAGAGCCATAGACTAGTGAAAAATGGCAGCATAAAGTGAAGTACGCCATATGGTAGCCAAGCCAAGACATCTTTGAAAACATTTGTTTGCATTGAAATGATAGCAGATAAATTATCACCATATAAAATGTTTTCCAGGGCTGGTAATACCGATACATAAATATGAGGTCTTTTTGACTCTGGAATAAATCTACAAGAATAGAATAAAACCAACCAACAAGCGATAGGAAGAAATGGAAGGAAAAACATTCTTGTGCTTGGAAGATAAAGTCCAGCTGCAAATATGCAGACAATAAAAGATTTGATCCAAACTCCAGGTGAATCAATAATATATAAAAGAAGTAAACCTAATATGAATAAAAAAACGTATTGAAGATCATATCTCGACCAATCGCGATTATATAAGGAATGAAACAAGCATTTCTTTGCTAACCGTGAGGCAAAGAATCTCTCCCGTAAGTCATTAAAAGAACGTATGTTCGTAAACAAAGGTAACATGTTAATGAGCATATTAATGTTTATATGAATTTCTATATTTTTACGTTTGGTAAAAGTGAGTGTAATTCTTATATACAATCCATCGCCAGTTATTCTATTCTAATTTTTCGACCTTTTTAATCAAATTGGACTTTGTATATTTTTAGTGTCTACTGTTGCACGAAATAAATACAGTTAAACAATATATGATTATTATCGTTATCAGTTAGCGTTAGTTAAAGCGGCAATTTGATTGGATCTAAATAAAAGATCCGGTTCCGCCAAGAGATCCGATGTAATACCGTATTTACCGTGCAAGATAACCGAGTACGTACGTACGTACGTTTCAAGGTTATTTGTAAGATATCCAGATACAAATCAATGGCCGATTTATTGCGCTTTGCAAAAAAGATGTGGCCTCTGCAGATCACGGCACATCTTTTTGCAAAGCGCTATAATAGTTTTTCTAACGGACAAATGCCGGGAGTATGAGTCATGCAAGATTTACTGAGCTACGAATCAGATTTCAAGATCAGGTGCGATCAAGAAAATTCAAACCATTTCTCGAAATTCTACATAAGAAACCACTTTTGGTGCTCTAATTAAAAGTTTTCGTTGGGAATTTTTACTATAAAATTACCTTTTTCTAACCCGTAACCCTAACCCTAACTCTAATACAAATGATCATTAAAGATTTTTTGCTTCGTCACAAACCTAGCACACATTCAAGTAATGCATTTAAAATACCCGGATATATTACACGGGTAAAATACAGTATACCCCAGATTGGGAATCGTCTCGATTCAGAATCAGGTTGCTCTGGATAGGAATTTTGTAAATTATTTTGCAGATTAAAGATTTTAGGGTTTTATAGATATATATGTTGTAAGTGAGAATGGCATCATAATACGTAGAATTCGGAATCCGCTTAGATTATACCTACGACATATATGTGCGTATATACAAAATTTCCAATGTTTTTTTTATAGTAAAACATATAAAAAATTGAAATTTACTAACCACGTTAAAAAAAAATTTTGGTAATAAAAAAAGGGAACGCCTATTTCCACCATGAATATTTACTATTTCCACCATTTTTACTTAACTTTTCATAACAATATGTTTGTCATGCTTATGTAACTGAAAGTCATATAAAAAGTATGGTGGAAATAGCAAATTTCAATGGTGGAAATAGGCGTTCCCTAAAAAAATATTAACTTTTATATACTGTATTATATAAATTCAATATTTGTATTCTATAATATAAGAGTTTCAACAGTCTAAACAAATTGGATTGATGTTTTTAAAAATTATTATTATTTTTTTTTTAATTTTCAAAGGTAAGGCCATTTTTAAAAATTATGAAGTTTATGATTCAAAATTTTATATGTAAAACATATAAAATTTGTAGAATTGACTTTAAAATTAAATATAAAATTTAAAAATTTTTAACTACAATTATTAATAGCATTACTATTATAGTTTACAGGCAATGTAAAATAAAAAATTATTTTTAAAAAAAAATAAGTTTTAATATAACATAAAATTTACAATTCAATTTTACAAAATTTACATAGTAAAAATATAGTAAAAATCAAAAATTTTAAAATTGTTAAAAATCCAAAGTTTTAATAAAAAATATTTTTTAATTTTATAGAATTAGAAAATTTAATATTTATATTTTAGAGCGAATCTATTTGTCACCAATGGTGACAGTCACCTGATCATGTGCAGCCAATCAAAATGTGTGTAACAAAAAAATGGATCAATCCTGGAAATTTTAATCCGGATCCAATCAAAATTATTAAAAAAAAAAAAAAATTATATCATTTTTTATTAAAAAATTACATTAAAAAAAAAAATTACATTATTAAAAAAAAAAAATTATATCATAATTACATTAAAAAAAAAAATTACATTATTAAAAAAAAAAAATTATATCATAATTACATTAAAAAAAAAATTACATTATTAAAAAAAAAAAAAAAAAAAATCCAACTACTAAATCTTTACCATAATTGCAAACTAACATAAACTCCAATCACATAAAGAACGTTTCAACAATGTAACACGATCAATTCTAAGCCAAAATGCTAACAAGCTCCAAGAACGACATAATGAAAGTTTAAACGATGACGCCAAAAGGACGAGACCCGCCAACAAAAACTTCAATGACGATGTCAGCACCGGAAAACGATGACAACAAGGAGGCAAGGAGGCAAAACCGCACCAGGAAAATTCGACAAATCATAGCTGTGAAGGCTTTTACAAGACTCCGGTTCTAATCGACGTTCTAATGAAACTAAATCTACAAAAGAGAAAAACAATTAGTTTAAGCCGATAAGAAAAAAAAAAAAGCAGACAACGAAAAAAAAACCCAACAGTATTTATCTTACAAGAGTCTGGTTCTAATCTCCATTATCTGATGTTTCAACGAAGCTAAACCTGCAAAAGAGAAAGAATTAGTTCAAGCTGACAAGAAAAGAAAAAAAAAAAATAAACGAAAAAAAACCCAGCAATACTTATCTACAAGATTCTGTGTTCTAATCTCCACTATTCGACGTTTCAATGAGGCTAAACCTACAAAAAAAAAAAAAGAATTAGTTCAAGCCAACAAGAAAAAAAAAAAGAAACAACGATAAAAAAAAACACCAACAGTACTTATCTTACAAGAGTCCGGTTCTAATCTCTATTATCCAACGTTTTAGCAAAGCTAAACCTACAAGAGAGAAAAGAATTAGTTTAAGTCAACAAGAAAAGAAGAAAAGCAAACAATGAAAAAAAAAACCCCTCAACAGTACTTATCTTACAAGAGTCTGGTTCTAATCTCCATTATCCAACGTTTCAACGAAGCTAAACCTACAATAGAGAAAAAGAATTAGTTCAAGCTGACAAGAAGAAAAAAAAAAAAGCGAACAACAAAAAAACCTAACAGTACTTACAAGATCCCGGTTCTAATCTCCACTATTCAACTTATCAATGAAGCTAGACCTACATAAGAGAAAAAGAATTAGTTTAGCGAGAAAGCAACCAACAAAAAAAAACCCACAGTACTTAACTTACAAATCCCAGTTCTAAACTAGCTAAACCTGCAAAAAAAGAGTTAGTATTAATTCAAGAAAAAAAAAACCCAGCAGCAAAAGAAAAACTACCTACCTTATCCCGGTCCTAATCTCTACTAACTGGTCAATGAAGCTAAAATGCAAAAAAAAAAAATTAGTACAGTACAAGAATGAATTTAATCTGAAAAAAGAAATTACTTGCAGAT